TTCAATTTCCAAGCTCAGAGAGCACCTTTCCCAGGATCATCTCCAAGGAGACTTCAGGTTTCTGCATTTCGTTTTCATCTGCCTCCTTCTCTGTGCTTTTATATCCTTCCTTTTCATCAGGTGTGCTGGACTCCAAACCAAATTAGCCTTTTTAATCTCTCTCTCTCCAGAACAAAAGGAGTAGACTGGGGAGTAACACCTAAACCTTCAGGGCAAGAGGGCTGACTTGTTTCATCATGCATATTGGGAGTAGAAATTCACCCCCCCACCAAATTCAGTGGAATTTATTTCTCTGTAGATGTCCTATGCCAGAATACCCTCCAAAGACAATCTGCCACATCAGGCTTTGTGAAGTCAATTCAGGTGCTTCAAGTAGCTAAGTATAATTTCTTACTAAAATGCAATTTGACATTTGCAGTGAGACACAGATTAGCTTAATATATTTTACTCCACCAGCGCAACTTTGCCTCTCAGCAGTTTGTACTCTGAGTCAATGGAATTAAATTCCTTTTCTCCTGATTGAGGGACACTGGGTTTAACTAAAAATCCATGAGTCACTAGTGTAACCCATTCACTACCTATATCAAGTATATTTTTAGGCCATAAAATAAAATAAAATCTATGTTTTATTGTAATCAATTAATGGGTTATAGTGATGGATCGTGGACTTTTTATTTCTACATTTCCAGTCTGCTAGAGAACAGGAAAACTGCAGAAACACTGAAAATGTAGTACCATTTGCATCTTTTAGGAATACATTTGTCAATATTCTAGTTAGCGTGTTAGCGCTAGACATAGGGACAGGTGCTTGAGAGTTTTCTTGAGGAACTAGAGAGCAGTTTCAGCATCTTCAATGGTGCAATGGCAACTCTGATGTCAACACACCAATAATGACAATACATGACTGAAATCCTGTTGTTTAGTGTAATACATTGTACCAGAGTAGGTCTGTTGACTCAGTGGAGATCTAATGTGCCAATTTCTTTATAATTTCCATTAATTCCAATTAGCCTATTCTAGTAGTGTCTTTAGTACATTTGAATCAAACACAGTTATGGAACAGTTGGATCACCAAATCCCTACTTATTCAATAGGACTGCTTGAGTTGCAATTTATGATAACATTTGAATCAAACACAGTTATGGAACAGCTGGATCACCAAATCCCTAAGCAACAGGATTTCAGCAAGTGAATTACTTTCCTGAACGTCAGTGACATTAATGATAATAGGTCGGTGGCTGACCAAAGTAATAAGTAACACAACATATCCCTTTTAAAAAGTAACTTTCCAAGTTGGTGTGCAGAGGTTTATGCTTTCTGCCAGAAAAACACATTATGATTCATAGCAGAATAGTTTATTAATTACTGTTTTTGCAAAACATAACTTTTTAAATGTATCCTCTGGTTGTCATCTACTAAAACTTATACCTGGTCCATATTTAACATGTACAAGATCAAAATCTGTACAACATCCCATTATTAACATATTCTTTTGGAGAACAGTGATCTTGATGATTTAAATAGGACAACCTGAGTCCATCTGTCAAACTACTAGTGCCATCTCATGTATGAAGATTCTCAGTCATCTAGGTGAGGTTATCTGGAAGTCATGGCAACTGGACTTCTTTCTCATTAGGCTGAAAAATTGGGTAGGCTCATTAGACGGATAGAGGACAGAAGGTGAGTGAAAATCCACTTCTGCAGTCCTTCTCCACCCATTGTCATGGGTGGTTAACAGTCGTTCACTGTTGAGTGAATGATTTTCTATATGCACATGTATGGCCTCCCTGAGCCCCCTCTCAAACCACCCATCTTCTCGGTCTAAAATGAGTACATTTTGGTCATCAAGTGAGTGCCCTTTGCCCCTTCAAATGAAGGAACACTGCTGACTGTCGTCCTGGGCCATTGCCCCTCCTACGCTGGGCCGTTCTCCTGTTTAGTGGCTCTTTGGTTTCTCCAATGTAGAGCTCCGAACACTCCTCTTTGCATTGGACTGCATATATGATATTACTCCTGTTGTGTTTTGGTGTCTGGTCTTTTGGGTGGATGAGTCTCTGCATTAGTGTGTTTGTGGGTTAGAAGTCCACGGGTTTGTGGTATTTACCAAAAATCCTTTTGAGGTTTTCAGACACAGCCACCATGTAAGGAATGACCAGATTTTTCCATTGGCTCTGGGTCTCAGACTGTTCTATTGTCCTGCTGGGTTAGGACAACCCTAAGTGTTAAAGTGCGCAGGAGCAGTGAAGAAGGCCAATTCCATGCTAGATGTCATTGAAAAGGGGTTTGAAAATAAAACAGTCAACATTATTATGCTATTCTACAAAACACTGGTAAGGCAGCACCTGAAATATTGCGTACAGTTCTGGTAACTCACCTCAAAAAAGACATAGTGGAACTGCAAAAGGTGCAGAAGAGAGTGACTAAAGTGATGACTGGGCTGGGGGACTTATGAGGAAAGGCTACAGCGTTTGGGGCTCTTTAGTCTAGATAAAATGCATCTGAGGGGGCACATGATTGAGATGTATAAAATTATGCAGGGGACAGATAAAGGGAAGCTCTTTTCCCTTTCACATAGTACCAGAATCAGGGGACATCCACTCAAATTGAGTGTTGGGAGAGTGAGAACAGACAAAATAAAATATTTCTTTATTGTTAATCTGTGGAACTCCTTGCCACAGGATGTGGTGATGGCATCTGGCCTACGTGCCTTTAAAAGGGGATTAGTCAGATTCCTGGACGAAAAGTCCATCACAGGTTACAAGCCATTATGGGGACGTATAATCTCCAGACTTAAAAGGAAGGTACCTCAAAATGCCAGATGGTATCAAAATGCTGGGAAGTGGTATCAAGAGACAGGTATCTGGTTGTCTCCTGTGTTCCCAAAGGCATCTGGTGGATCCACTGTGAGATATGGGAAGCTGAACTAGATGGGCCCTTGGCCTGATCCAGCAGGGCTCTTCTTATGTTCTTATGTACTATCTTCTGAAGTGGGACAGTCTTTTGTTTCTGTCTTCCAGTTTGCAGATGACACCCCATTTTGTGCCATCTGCAAATTTGACAAGCACTCCCGGAACTCCCTCATCAAGGTCATTAATAAAAATATTGAAGAGCACTGGGCCCAGGACTGAGCCTTGGGTTACCCCACTAGTTACCTCCTCCCAGTTAGAGAAGGACTGATTAATTATCACCCTCTGAGTAGCTAGATAGATAAAACTTTATTACGGTCAAAGACTAGCCACAGATAAAACATCGAAATATATAAATATACAGAGGTATAGAAAAATATTGGGATCAAATGCAAATACTTGGTTCTGAGGTGAACAACCATAGCTTCAAGAGAACTCCCCTAAAGCACCCTCTGAGTATGATTCTGTAGCCAATTGTATAGTCACCTAACACTTGATCTATCCAGCTCACATCTAGTTAGCTTGTTAATCAGGATATCATGGGGCACTTTGTCAAAAGCTTTGCTGAAGTCAAGGTATACTATGTGTGCATTCCCTCTGTCTATTAGGGAGGTGAGCTGATAAAAAAATGAGATCAAATTACCATATTTTACCATGTATACACCCCCCCAGTGTATAAAACGACCCCCTAATTTTGACCCTTGATGGAGGCGGAGGAACAATTAATGGGCAACTGCTCCTCCACCTCCATTTCCTGCTGCTGCTTTCTCCACTCCCGCCTGATCACCTTCTCCAGTGCAACTGCTGGGGCTCACCTCCAGCTCACCTCGCTGCCTGCCCTACGGAGACGATTGCTGGAGGAGGTGATCCGGCAGCAGCAACAGCAGGAAGAGGCGCCCAAGAGTGTTTGTTTGCCTGCACCTCCTGCTGCCTCCAGCACTGGAGGGGACAAGGTGGCGACATGAGCTGAGGCCCATCAATCCCACTGAAGGAGGTGATCGGGTAGGCGGGGGAGGCAGCAGCAAGAGGCCCTCGAGTGCGTGTAACTGCTCCTTCGCCTCCTGCTGCTGCCTCGGCCACCGGAGGGGACAAGCCATGAGCTCTGGAAGAGGCAATTGGGTAGCAGTGGAGGTGGCAGCAAGAGGCGCCAGAGTGCGCATGCGACTGCCTCCTTCCGTGTATAAAACAACCCTCAATTTTCCCTCTATTTTAGGAAAATTTGTTGTTTTATACACGGAAAATACAGTAATTGTTAAGTATGTCCATTGTATTATATGTTGTTGTCACTGCTGTACTCCACCCAGAGTGACCATTGGTCAGATTGGCAATATAGCAACTTGGAGGGATGGAGGGATAAAGTTAAAACCAAAATAATTAGCTGGGACCTCTGTTGTGAAGCACAAACTGTCCAGATTATAATCAGTTGATCTGAGATTCCACTTATCTATTGCTAAACTAAATTACTTTTTAACCAAAAGTTTAATTGTGCAAAAAGCACCTGTGATCCCATCCATATAGCTGATGTGGGCAAATGTGGAAAACTACAGAAGGAGAACCTGTGGCCCTTTAGAACGTTGTTGAAATAAGATGCTCGTCTGAGGCTAATGGGAGTTGGAGTCCAAAAATATCTAGGCAGTAACAGGTTTTCCATCCAGGTATACAGCCGTGAAAACAACATATAATGCCATGAACACAATTAGCAATTAAATTAAAATTAATATAGACGTTACATTTACATTTAAAAACAGAGGCAGTTAAAATGATAGGCAAATGATGACAAAGAAAAGGGTTATAGCTAGTAACTTTCTTCTGTTATAGAGTCCTGTATGTGGAGATAAAAATCCAAAGAGGGAGAATTCAAAGCTATATCAACATATTGTTGGCCTCACATGGATAGGTCATACTCTGGAGCCGGGTATTGCCACTCAAAGAACAAAGGGTGGTTCTGATTTCATCAATCTTTGATCTCTCTGCCTCTCAATTTCCGTATCTTACTGTCTGCCTGTGTCAACCTGCTGTAATAGATTCCACATTTTCTTATTAGTCCATAAAGTCATTGCATGTGAACACACTATTTTCTCCAGCCATCCTTACTTTATATCCTCATCGTGGGCAAAGACAATGATAGCCCTGGCTCCAGGAGTATCTTGGAGGAGCTTGATAATTTTATCAAATTCGAAGGTCTTGTCTTCTCGATTCTGAGGGATTTTCAATGACTGGGCAATGCAGAGGTCACCTGTTAACAGAAACAAAGAAGACAATGTGCTAAAATCTGTAAAGTAGACCAATGAGGAAACGGATTTTAAAAATGTGGTTAGAGGGAGTAAAGGGATTTTAAAATGTGAGAAACAGAATTAATTGCTTCATGTATCCACTGGAAATGGTTCTGAGCTTTGGAAAAAATCCACTTGGCTATGGAGTTCTATAGGTTTTACATTCGCAAACAATTTAACAAGCTGCACCTACTTCATTACTCTTCAGGTAAGCTAGTTTCAGGTACCCTTCACTATCCCTCACCTAACCAAGACTTAAGATCAATGAATCCAGTCATGTGTTCTTTTTTCTGGTACATATTTTTGTAAGCAGATAGAAGAGTAGTGAACAACTTCCAAAGGTCAGGGAGCCACCCCTTGACACCTTCAAACACAGGCCTTGTCCTCATGCTCCTGTTGCTGCTGCTGTTGCTTAATTTAAAAGACACCTCATGCCCTCTGACAACATGAAGAAGGTGCAATTTTATTTACTTATATATATATTTATTTATTGGACTTATATACCGCCCCATAGCGCTACAAGCACTCTCCGCTGCTGTTGCTTAATTTAAAAGACACCTCGTGCCCTCTGACAACATGAGGAAGGTGCAATTTTACCACCTTTTTGGTCTCCCATTTTGTCAGGCCCATAGAATTTCAAAGTTGGGAGTGACCACAAGTCACTTAGTAGTAACAAAGCCTCAGACACATGTGGTGAATAGAAATATTATGAAAGCACCCTGTGACCTCTCGAGGGCACACATAGGGTTGTTGTTGTAATTTTAAATCAAAATCTAGAAGCTGCAAATACAGTACTAGCAGATGGCAGAGGAGGTGCATGAGACCTGAAAGCTACACTTTATCCATTATATCTGTAGGAGGAACCGGAGATGTGCACTCCATTCTTGCACTGTTCTATCTACTTCTGACCTTCCTATGTTTATAAGGAAGATCTGCAAAAGAGCTGTAACCATTGACAAAACTACCAGAAATCTGAAATTCTGCCTTATCAGAGGTCCCAATTATACAGAGCTCTGTAAACATGTTTGGCTGAGCACAATCCTAGAAGCTTTACAGCTTTTCCAGTTCAAAACAGGGAGTTTACAAACCTAAATAGGGCTTTACCACACCTTGTAAACTAAGATGTGTAGTATAACTTGAATGCATACGTACTGTAAATGCTTATCTATAATTCTGAACCTAGAATTTGGTTTCCACTAAAGCCTTATCCAATCTAAGCTCAAAATGAGTGGGCACCAAAGTACACAGAAGCACTATGAGGGGAGAGCAGAATCCTCTGTGAAACAGCCACTCTGTTTCCTCCTGTTACTAGTTCTTTCATTCATTCATTTTTAAGGGCATGCCAGCCAGTGAGCACCAGCAGTACGGACTCCCAATTTAAAATGATGGAGTACCCTCATGCCACACAGCTTTTTCAACACAGAAAACAGGCATATCTAAGTCTTGGGGTTCGGTAGAAATATTGGAAGGAAATTAACAGGTTAACATGTGCCCTTGGGTATATGGTTATCAGCAGAAAACTAGCAGAGCAAGAAACCCTATGATACCTGAAAGGCAAACCAATTTTATTTTATGTAATCTTTTGTGAACTCCAGCCAATAGACTTAACAACACTGCCCCTCTGGAAACAGCAGCACATTATTATGGGTCCATAATTAGTCCATATGACACAGCAAGTTAAGAGTGTTCGACAAGTACGATAAAATCCACGTTTGAGTCCTCATTCATCTATCAGACAAACTGGGTGACCTTGGGCCACTAGCTCTCTTTACAATAAACTACCTCACAAGATCGTTGAGAGGACAAAATGGGACAAAAGGAAGGACCAACACATATGCTGCCCTGACCTTTTCCGGGCCTGTGGGGGGGACCAAAATGTAAAATGTAACAAATTTATGAGTGGCCTCTGCCATTGTTGTTGTTGTTGTTGTTGTTGTTGTTGTTGTTGTTGTTGTTGTTGTTGTTGTTGTTGTTGTTGTTGTTGTTGTTGTTTTAAAGGAAGTCTTTACTCAGGAACATAAAACCCACTAATGTGGGACTTGGAAAATCTGATGCATTTCCCCTCTCTTCCCAGAACTGTACAGACAACAACAGTGTGTAATCATTATGTATTTCTCCTCCAGAGATGTCTTGGCTTATAGTCTCTGATAAACTTCATAACTATTTTTCATTTGTATCCAGCATAGCAAATCCTCCTCTGACGGCCTGCCTATTGCAACCATAGAACATTTGGGCAGTGGCCCTAGGGCATGCTCATAACCTAAGAAAGTGGTGAGATATAGCACTGTGTTCCTGATGAGCCCTTTCTCAACAGGGATCATGTTAAAGCGTCACAGTGATCCATAAAAAGGAAATGAAGAGGGGGAGAGCCAGAAATCCATTTCCCCAAACAATATTGTGAAAATTGCCTGACTTTATAGTTACTACCTTTCCCTGTGGCTTGAGTCTCTTTGGCAGACAAACCCAATTGCTTCTGAATTGGCCTAGTCATTTAAATTCCCAGCACTAGCTGTCCCTGGCTGTACTCACAGGTAGCGAAGAGACGCTAAAACATTTAGACTGAAATGTCCCCAAAGAATAGTCTACCAAGACAAAGCAGAAAACAGAGACTTTTCTCCCACCATCATTCATGTGGAGGCGAAGGTTCTATTACAGAATATAGTCAGGGATTCAGCAATAGGCCAGAACGAATATTGCCAACAAAAATATGGCACTCTAGATGAGTGTAGGACTTTGCAAGGTAAAATATGAAGGCTTGCAGACTAAATGTTAATCTACAGCTATACAGGGAAAAGGAGGATGGTGAAATTGTTTTAATCCAGTGCCTCTTGGAATATGATAACATATACTGTTATAATATACTGTGCCTCAAAATGTTCTGTTGTTACTGTTGTTTTAATTCATGTTGTGAGTTATCGTCAGCCCCTGCACTGGAAGAAAAGTGGATCACATCTATATAAAAATAAAAGTACTAATGTTTGAACAGGACTGTACTTAGGTCCAGTAACATACACTGATTTGTTGATGATTTATTAATGTGCTGTGGGATGACTCTTTTTCATATCTATGGGGCCTTGACCTCATAGGTAGGTAGGAAGGAAGGAAGGAAGGAAGGAAGGAAGGAAGGAAGGAAGGAAGGAAGGAAGGAAAAGAAAGCAAGAAAGCAAGCCAGAAAGAAAGATGACATATTGAACTACTAACATACCAGATGCATTGGATGTTGTTGATGAAAGAAGAAAGATCCAAGGTATCATGTTTATAATGGCCTAATTTTTATTAGTTTGTTTGAAGTATTACAGCAATGCCAGTTAGCAAATCTTGTTTCTGTCCAGAAAATAGAAAACTATTCCACCCAGTTTCATAAGAACTGTACATTTCTCCAGCAGGTGTCACTATGACACACAGTTTACTGTTAGAATAAGTTGTTTTTCCATTACATTTAATACTTCTTTTTAAATAAAAAGGCTTAACAAGGAGAGATTAGTGTTCTATAACAGAGAGCAACAGGATATTCATACTGAAATATCTTAATCACTATTTGCAGTCACAAAGTGAGAAAGTAAAATGAAACATGTTCCTTACATTCAGCTCAGTGCCTGTAGGTTGAACCTGCTTTGATTACTTAGGGTTATTTCTAACATTTACAGAGTATACAGTACATAAGACAGTCTGTGTTTGCAGACTCAGAATCTAATAAATATGTTATAACAAGAAAGAAGGAATGTGAACTAAAGATGAAAGGAAGCACTTGTGTACCATCTCATTCACTAATGAAAGACTAAAGCCCCCTCATGACAGTATTTTCTGGGTCTCTGCCTGCCAATGGCCCTTGGTCTTCTGACTTGTAATCCTTGCCCAAACTATGCCATGCAATTCCCAATTCTCTACATCACTGTTTTGCTTTCCATGATCAGTATCACTCCACTGAGCCAAAAATAATAATCGTAGATGAATCTTAGAACTGCAGAGCTGGAAGGGATCCTATGGATCATCAAGGAGACACAGTATGGAATCGAACTTTCAACCTCTGACTCCACAGCCAGATACCTAAACCACTGATCTAACCTTGAAAACCTGATGATAGTCACCTAAACTACAGCCATGTGTTCCCAGGTTATAAACAGGGCACGAAAAAGCTATTATCTTTGCAAAAGCCTTGGGGGGGATATGAAATTCAGTGACACATCTCAAGAAACTATGTTCATTGCTTTAAAACACATTTTTGGCTTGTCAATATCCTGAGATCTTCCCCAACAGACATTTCTGTTAGAAGTCTCAGAACCACAACTGCAGTCAATCATCAGTAACCATTATTTTATAGTATCTTGAGATGACCCACATTGGTTAAATTGCAGTACTGTAATCAAGACTCCTCTCACGACCTGAATTCAATCCCTATGGACTAAGTTACAGTCATGTGAAAAAGTAAGTATACTCTCATTGAATTCTATGGTTTTACGTATCAGGATATCATAAAAACCATGTGGTCCTTAGCACGTCTGAAAATTAGGTAAATACCAGCCGAAGAGGGACAGTAACACATGACATATTACAGTACACCATGTAACAATTTATTTTACAAAAATAAAGCCAGAATGCATAAAACATGTGTGAAAAAATAAGTACACCCTTACAGCTTCCATAGGAATTAAGACGCTAGGTAGGCCAGGTGCTCTTAACCAAATGTCTTCAAGGAATTGATCATCAGCATGTGTGACCATCTCTATAAAAGCTTAGGTTTCAACAGTTTGCTTGTCTGGACCATTCAGGTGTGTGTTAGCACAATGCCAAGGAAGAAACATATCAGCAGTGATCATAGAGAAGCAACTGTTGCTGCCCATCAATCTGGCAATGGTTATAAGGCCATTTCCAAACCATTTAAACTCCATAATTCTAAACTGAGGAAGATTATTTATAAATAGAAAACATTTAAGGCAGTTGCCAATCCTCTCAGGAGTGAATG